ATGGTGAAAAAGTTCGAGGATGGATTTTATGGTGATGGTTACACAACAATGCAAATGTACTTAATGCCAGTAAAAGTGATTAAGTGATACATTTGTTATGTATATTTTACCAGTTTGGAAAATAGTGAAAAAGGAAACAAAACACACACAGACCTAGCATTCAGGGAAACCAATTTGAAGTTCTTTCCTATTATTAAAATTAGATGTGAACAAAATGTGATTTCTTTGCTACTGTTCCATAATGATGTTACTATGTATTGAAAACAAGCTCTGTGCCAGAAATATGTATGTCATAGAGAAGGGAAGATGCAGGTTTAGAGAGGTTATCTAACTGACCCCAAAACACGCAGCTGGGAGCAGGGGACATTTTAAGAAATTCTAGAATTGCAACTGAAGTCTTTTAGACTGCAAACACCTTACACTTTTATCAATTCCCAAGGGGCTTGATTATCTTGCTACTTTTTTGGATATGTCAACATCTTTCTTAAAAAAAAAAAATTCCTCCTCAAATCTTCAGAGAAAGAATTGCTTCAGTGTATTCTGAGTTTAGAAAGTATAAGAAGTCTGAGGCCTTGCAGAATGAAATGTCTGTTGTGTGCTTACTGTTTAGTGACATCTGATAGTTTTAAAATGGCTTGGATCCCTTGTAAGAGAGATAAAAACAAAAACACCCATACCACCTCCACAAACCAAACCACATTCAAATTGAGTCTAGACTCAACAAACCATCACTACTCAGCCTGCCACCTGTTACAGCGAGGGGTCGGCACACTCTCCTTGCGGCAGTAATCTGGAGAATACGGCGGCTAGCCCGGGCGGCCCGCCTCGCACATTCCAGGTACACGGCCTGCAGAGACCCCTGCACGTGCTCCTGCGCAGGCGCAGGCCCACTGTGTAGCTTTCATCCAGGGCCGCTTGGTACTCCAGTGCCCCCGAGTGGCTTCTGCCTCTGCGCGCCGGGCTCGGGGTCGTCGCTGCCCCTTCTCCAGGTCCTCCGTAGCCCCTGCCCTGGCCAAGCCTGGCGTCCACTCCCCTCTAACCCTGCATTGCACAATGTGGGAGCAAAGTCCCCGAGGGTGTGAACCCGGCTTTCCCTGCCCCTGGGCGGGGACGCGCGGCGGCTGTGC